AAAACATCCTCTGCTCCTTTGTTTCTTTCTTTTCGTCCTCAATTTGTCTCCCGCGCTTCCTTAAGCTATTCACTTTATCTGCCCCCCCACCCACCTCCGGTTCAGAGTGTCTGGGGAACAGCGAGGTGGTCAGGTACTTGTACAGGATCCTCATATCATCTTGTTCCAGTCCGCTCCTGCAGACCCAACAACAACAGCAGCAGCATTATACCACACACCACGCTAAAACGCACAACAAAATGTGTGGCTGTGTACATGTTTTGTGTGTGTGTGTGTGTGTGTGTGTGTGTGTGTGTGTGCTGTCAATTGTGTTATGCATCATGAGGCGAGTGTCTCCTGGCTGTAATTACACTTTAATGAATACTCCAGAGCGACACCGCTTAATTTGGACAATAATTAAACGGCTCCTCTCGGGTTGTCCAGTGACGGTTCACGATGAAAGACCATGCTGCTCTCGAGCCATTTCATTAGGAATGACGTAATCCCCCCGCGCTCACCCACCCAGCCGTCAGTACAATTAAAAAGGCAACGACGTGTCATGTGGCACATTAACCAAAAGAGGTTGAAAGGTGGCGTTTAAAGCCACCTCTGTTTATCCAGCATGCCCTGATCTGTTTGTAGATATCAAAGATGGGATTTTACATTGTGGTGTGGTTGCAAATATGTGCAGGGTTGTACAAGTTTGTGCCCTACAATAACACATCCAGGGGGGGATTTTAAGGACAAGCACATACACAGACACACACAGGTTCAACAAGTGTTCAGTCTGTACCAGATAAGCTGGTCGTTGTACAGGAAGGCTGTGTATTTGATCAGGCTTAGGCTCTCCTCCACTCTGTTGACGAAGGACTGGATCTTCAGGTAGGTCATCTTGTCCAGTGGGAAGAAGCTGATGCCTCCGAATACGTCCAGCAAGTCGCAGGACTGCAAGTGGAGAGTCTGCAGATACTGGAAACGCACGCAGGTGCACGAACACGCCGAAAACAAAACAAAAAAAAACAGGGAGACAACCCAGAGACACAGGAGAAGGAAAGAAGAAAGGGGTTAGGTTACCCACCTATAACGGGCTTGCTTACAGTGCAGCAACGACAGAGGAATAAGAAACTCTCTGACTGATGCTCTGTGGAGACGCTTGCATCATCCTGACATTCAACCTCTGACACCCCACACCACAGCCTCTCTTTCTCTCTCCGTCTTTGGGTTACATGGTGAGGAGGGAAGCCTGTGTTAACTTAAGAAGGGTGTTCCTTAATTAGAAATTAATCTTTTATACTTTCACATAAGCGTTAATGCTCGGAGATGAGTCGCTCCGGCAATGAATGTTGCATGAGGCAAAGGCAGCTAATGTAGAGAGAGAATAATACATTATAATTATTTTCTTCTTAATTTCTTGTATGAAAGGTGCTAATCAAATAGAGTTTGTGATTATTATTATTATTATTATTAACTATGTGCACATACATTTAAATGAATCATGCTGCGAAAGCAAGGTCAGCATATTCAAGGCATGTAAAGAAAAAACATCCACTTAGAAAAAAGACGTTTTTGGACGGATGAGCTTCTTACCCGGTAGAAGAACTTTTCAAGCTTCTGAATCAGCAGCTCCACTCCGCCGGCTTCCATTGCTCTGCCAAATGTACCGTTGAAGAGCTGCAGCACAAGGAGAGTAATCGCTGTTACAAGATGACTCTTTTGGCATTATCAAGAGGCCTTACATTGGTAGTCTGGGTACAGCTTTTAGAAGAAGAGAAAAATGCAAAAGAACAAAGTCGTAGACAGATTCTAAAACTCACCTTGTACATACTGTAGCATTGCTGTACCACTGCACCATAAACAGTGTCCTACAGAGGCAAGAGGGCACGTTAAGTAAAACGTCAAACTGATGATATACAATGAAAGAAATACAGATGTTGACGAGTGTCTCTCAGTACTCACAAGTATTTCCTCTTCCTGATATTCTACTGTGGGAGGTTTACCATCTTTGTTTGGTTTCTCAATCATTGGGTTTCGAACCACCTATGGAATGAATTTCAAACAGAAATGGATTAGCTAAACAAAGTCTCTCGACAAACAGAGAATACTGAACAAATAATGTACAGGTAAGCCTTTAAGATACCATGACTATCCAGAAATTGTCCTCGGCCTCAAAGAAAAACTGCCGGTTCTTCTGTGTGTGCAGGGATTTAGCTGGTTTTGTTGGACAGAAAGTCCTGAAAAAGGTAGAAGACATGACCGTGGAAACAAAGGAGACACACCCAAAACAAGAGGATCAGCTCCTTGTTTTGAGCTTTTACAGACATTAGATATGCATCAGTGTGTGTCTGACCACTTACTGCAACATTTCCCTATTCTGCTATTCCCTATTCTGTAAAATGTTTGGGACAATGCTGCTCCAGCTTTACTCGGCTTCTGTTGCAAGTACAGAACTGAACTCTTTACCTTGTGAACTGAACAATGGCCTCACAAAGGCCCACATTTCTGATCTTCTCATTCTTCTCCACATCACTTGGGTGGTAAAACAAGATCTTCTTCTCTTCCTAAAAAAAAAAAAAACACGTCTTGAATTAGCAATTCACACCATCGAAATGTTTTCCTTATTACCAGAATGAAGTGATTCAGTAAAACATCTGCTTAGCATATCGTCATCTAGGGAATCCTCCTCACCTCTCCTTCCCTTTGCCCAAATGACGGGTTGTAAACGAAGAAATTGAGCAGGGATGGTGTGTACTGTTTCTCTTGCATTCCTGAGGCCATTCTGGGACTGGAACAGACACAGAGAGGAAGTTGACAGAAGCAGATACACAGTTAGAAGCTGAAAGACCTCTCGATATTATTGCACCGACACAAACGCGCCCGCTTTACCTAATCATCAGCATTAGTGGAACTTGCCGCTGGTTAGCATGCCGGGTGCCTGCAGAATGAAGACAAGTACATCACATCACTACATGACAAATCTAGAGATAATAATCATTAACTTCTCAAGGGTCCACACACACACACACACACACACACACACACACACACACACACACAC